GGCTATCCTTGGCCGGCCTCTTCTAGAAGACCTAGGGGCCATCATCTCCCAGGCTCATTTGTACTTAAAATTCTACACCACCTCAGGGATAGGCACGGTGAGAGGCGATCGGAAAATGGCACGGAGTTGTTATGTACGGGCCTGCAAGGCCCACGGAAGAAACGAATCCAGTGTAAATGCCATTGAACAGGATCTATCAAAATATGAGGAAGGGCAATTCAGAGCCCAGCCCATCTCAGAGCTGGAAGAAGTGGAAATCGATCCCATCCAACTAGAACGACGGGTCAGGATTGGTACAGGGCTCCAGGTTGACCTGAGGACACGAATAGTCCAGGTCTTGGTGGAATTCAAGAAGATTTTCGCATGGGGACCTGAAGACATGCCGGGGCTGGACCCAAGCATAGCGGTCCATCGATTAAATGTGGATCCTAAAGCTGCTCCGGTCAAGCAAAAGCGCATGTATTTATCTTTGGAAAGGAAAGAGTTCGTGAAAGGGGGAGTGGCCATGCTATTGGGCATCAAGCACATTAGAGAAGTCCAATATCCCGAGTGGCTTGCCAACGTGGTTTTGGCACCCAAACCACCAACATGGAGGATGTGCGTTGATTATACCGACCTGAACAGAGCCTGTCCAATGATTACTTTTAAGGTCTCCGAGCTCCTTAGGAGGCAGCTTCCAGGTCTCCCATCTATACTATTAGCTTCTTTCAAGGTTAGTGAGTATCTATTTATCATTTTAGTAATTTTTTGTCAGTATGATTACTTTTAATTGGAGAGGGTAATGATATTTGGTGTTGGTATTAGTTGTATTGCTGATTGTTAAATTTGTGTATGTAATGTTCAATTTTAGAAGGTGCATTTTATTCACTTCTTTCCTATTACAACTAGCTTAATGACCTCTGAAGCAATTTTCAAATATTTGAAAGCATGATACTCCCCCATCCCGAAAAATGTGTCCTGTTTAACAAACCTGGACTTTATTTTTTGGAAAAGCCGTTGAAATATAAAGTTTCTATGGAGTGGAGGGAACATTTAGATGATATTTAATGTGCAGAGGAATATGCAATTTGCCTCAGAAGGTCGATATGCAAATATGGCAGTTCCTCAAAAGTTAAAGTCTTATTTAAGATCCTATATATTAATTACTGTGTTGATCGTTATAACATTAAGACCAGGCAATCATGGAGAAGTTGAAGCAGTTCAGGCATTCAAGTACATCTATCGTAGTAAGAAAATTGTTATACTTGCAGGTGGTTGTTGGAGTGGTTCTTTGAAGCATGAACTTATTAAACATCATGATATTGAATTGGATCTCCTATCAAGCATCAGAAGGAAGTATCCTATTCTGATGGACATGCATGTCCATCAGACATGCCTGAGTTTGATAGTACTCCATATCCACTTCCTTCCCATTTCAGTTCATGTGCTCAAAGTAACCAATCCCCCAACTTAACAACGTCATAAAAGATAGTTTATGGTTTAATACAGAAAAAATAGTTTAGAGCAAACTTTTTTGCCCTTGGGCACTACATATTGTGTACCAAATTACAAATTACTCCAGATTTATTTTGATGAAAAAGAAATAGTGCTCTAGAAAAAAGAATTAGCTATTATAATGGAAACTTATCACATTTTAATTACTCCCCCCTTTCACAAATAGTTAGTTCTAGGGTAAAGTACACGGAGTGTTATACACTCATACCTAAACTACTCTTATATGATATATTGATATTCCTTTTATAAATGGACAGTCTTAAAACGCCACCCATTGTGAAACAGAGATTATCATTTTTTTGTGTAATTTAGGGCCATGTTCCATTGTGTTTATATTGACTTTATACTAGTACAACAACATTCAAAACATAGTCCCAAAAGAGTTTGAAGTCAGGGGCTAATGTAGGAGTTAAAAAGGATAAGTAAGATAAATAGATAATAATAAGAAGAATGGATAGATACGATAAGATAAAAAAACATAAAAAAGTAAAATAAAGATAAGATAAAAATAAAAAGGATAAAAATACTAGGTATAAGATAAGAAGGATAGAAAGATAAAAAAAAACATAAGAAAGATAAAAAGATAAAAAGATATCGATTCTCCACACGAATATTCTCCTTGCATGTTTGCTAATTAAAGTTAGTAATTTTCAATTCAAACAGTGTACTTGGACGTTTTCGCCGAAGACTGGCGACGCCGGGCTGGTTTATCCTCTCCTCTCTTGGTCAAATTAAGTTGCTAATCTCTTTACATATTTAAAGTGACGCTAGAAGCAGCCAACTTCACCAACGCATATGCCTACTTTGTAAGTTTAGTGGTTTTTTACAGGTGGAAATATGGCCAAAATTAGTCATGGAAAATAGATAGTTCTTCTCTGAGTTTTGTGGCAAGGTACGTCCAGTTGTCCATATGGTTTCTGCATTTAATCATTTTTTAGGGCCACTGTTCGTTTATCTAATTATTCTATTCAATCCTTGTTATGCCTATAGTATGTAGTGAAGAGAAAAGTGGTCGTCGGTATATGAGGCTGTGCGAGAATTGTGGCAAGGTCAAAGCAGGTAGAGCGTATACCTTGAAGTAAAAATTTCTATGTAGTTCTTGTCATTTATACCCTTTCAAACTTGCAAGGTTCTAATACATTAATATTTTGCTTTTTTGATATAGCTCTGCTAGTGCTGAAAATACTCGGTCGCTCCCTCTTTACTTATTACTTATTAGAGTTATAATATATTCTCTTCTCAATGAATTGTCCTAATATACTGCGTTTGTTGGGGTAAATAATCGGATGAATGAGTACAATTTTCCTAATAAACCATTTCAACTGGTTTTTTCTGCTTTTTCTACCCACTCTTATAATCTCAAACTAAGATTTTGTTAAAACCCTGGAGGAGAATCTTTGTGTGCAGAGGGAGAAAATTTTAGATTTACAATCTGTATGTTTGATAGGAAAGGTGGATAATAATGCAGATAAGTAAAGAACTAGACAAGCATTTGATGATTCATTGTGGGGTTGTATGTTTTTTCCCTTATCTAGCTGTATCAAGTCCAATTGTATTTCTCACGTATTTGGTTGAGCTACGTGTATTTTTCTGCTTGAAATCTCAGTCTAGTTCGGGTATTTTTCTGTTTGAAATCTCAGACTGGTGCACCTTTGGCTTTGGAGATCGATAGCTTTGGCAGGCTAGCAGCAGATTCTTTAGCACTCACCACTCATGCTTTCATTATGGAAAGAGATCAATAAGATACAAGAGACGTGATTTTTTTTGTGAAGATACAATCATTTAATATTATTATCAGTAGCATGGTGTGAATTTGTACTTAGTTATGTACTTATATAGAGTGTTTATCGAATAACATGATATTTGTGTGCACTTTATTTATTTGCTACTCCTGTACTAACGGTTAATAATATTTGGTTTAATATCATCTTAGGTGTTGATGTTCTATTGATATTGAATTGTATTATATGAAGTAAACGGCAGTCATTAAAAAATGGTACAGTTTACGAGCATGAAAACATTTTAATATGGGTCTGTTTAACTCCACATAGAAGCTATATAATGAGAGAGTATTTGCTGCGGATTTGAATGCCATTTGCTGCGGTTCAGAACCGCAGCAATAAGTAAGAATTCATTTTTTTGAAATAGCTATTTGCTGCGGTTCGGAACCGCAGCAAATACGTTTTCCTACTATTTGCTGCCCTGCCAATTGCTGCGGTTCAAAACCGCAGCAAATAGCTATTTTTCTAGTAGTGCCAATGGATCCTTTCCCTTTACCAAACATAGATCAGTTGGTGGATCAGACCGCTGGATGCGAACTCCTCTCATTCATGGATGCATTCAGAGGGTACCCTCATATCTCAATGCACCCGGATGACGCTGAGAAGACCTCGTTCATCACACCAGAGGGACTTTTTTGCTACCTAGTCATGGCATTGGGTTTGAGGAACTCAGGAGCTGCCTACATAAGGATGGTCTCCAAAGTATTCAGATCAGTTCTAGGAAGAAACACGGAGGCATATGTTGATGATCGGCAAACGACGAGCCCTTGATAATCCTTCTTCTCCTTTCTTGACAGTAAACTAGGGATTCCAGATCGATTTTGGACTCTCCCTTCTTATTTCCAGATCTGAGTTTCAGAACAAATTTGGGGTAGGTATAGAGAGGTGGCTGGGGCGAGGTTGAAGGTAAGGCGAGGTTTGAGGGGCTCTGGTGCGGCGTTGTTGGGCGGGGCTATGGTGCATAGTTCCTGAGAGGGGCTATGGTGCATTATTCCTGGGTGGGGCTGGGGGAGTGTTCTGTGGCAGGGCTGGGGGAGTGTTCTGTGGGGTTGGGGAGACTGAGGCCATGGAGATGGGGTGGGGGAGCTGGGGGACAGAATGGGGGCTTGGGGGGTGGCAAGGTGGCCGGGGATCGGGGGGCTAGGGAGGAGGGAAGGTGACTGGGGGATGGGGAGTCAAGCCGGTAGCCGGTGGTCGGCAGTGATGGCCAGCGGCGGTGGTCTGAGGTCAGCAGAGGTGGTGCTAGGACGGGATGGGGCTAAGGGACCGTGAGGAGCAGGGAGGGACGGGAAACGACGTGTCACTGTGACCGGAGTCGGCATGTCACTATGGCCGGAGTTGGCATGTCACTATGGCCGGAGTTGGCATGTCATTGTGGCGGCGTCACCGTTGACGGTGTCACTGTGGCCCGTGGAAGAATGGTAAACACCGTGCAATGAAGTCACTATGAAGTTGTCACTTCAAAATTGTCACTGTGGTGATGTCACTATAAAATTGTCACTGTAGCAATGTCACTGTAGCGTGGTTACTGTAGCGCCTGTAATTGTACTATTAATACTTTCAGACACATTTTTGGAAAATTGAATAAAAGGTCACTTTTTTGTCAATGATCCACTTATTGGTAATATTGAGGTAAAAACCCCTTTAATATTCTAGAATTTGAATCATTTCTCACTTTTCATGAGAATGCTTTTTATGTTAGAATGCAACCCCTAGTGATGGGTATATACTCAAATTAGTATAGAGATAAATACGGTAGACCCGGTAGTAAATTTAACTTTAAACACCACAAATCGGTAGATAGCGAGTGAGATTCTGACTCATAAATTTGCACTTTTATCTACATAGCAGTAGTAATCATAGCAGTAGTAATTGTAATAGTAGTGATTTATTATGAGTTCCTCGAGGGTTGTAATTGGTGTATCGTCATCCCATCATGAGATCAAGCTCTGCATGCTTGGAAAAGTGGTGAAATATGCGAGAGCGACAATGACGCCTTGGCCAAACCAAAGCAACCCTGCGATGAATAGATGGCTGGGGAATGGAATCGCACACGAACTATTAGAGTACTCCAACTTTAATCCCAGCACACTAAGTGCAATTCCAGCAATAAACACGATCCTGCACGTACGGGCAGACATATATGTTAGGGAATATAGGGGTTATATATATAAAACATAAACTAATGCACACTATTAATTAGTACGTACTTCCTCGGGTTTTCCCGCTAAATACCATTACCAACATTGTCGAATGAGACGAGTTTCGATACAATGACATCTTCTTGAAAGTGTCACAATGATATCATCAAACAATAAAGTATCTGACCTACGAGTACGTACGTTGTATACGCAGTATGCTTCCAAGAATGTTTTTAATTGAATTGAAATATTTGAATATGGTCGGTCTCAGGGGAGGATCTATGTTAGGGCTATGGTGGGCTGAAGCCCAGGGCAAAGTAATTTTTTTTTATTATTTTTAAGGTATTATGTTTAAAAAATTGCACCCAGCCCATCCCAAAAATTTCTATAGCCCAGTCCAATTTCTCAACCCAGCCCATAAACAAAATCTTAACATCTAAAAATCTAATCTAAATGTTATACACATCACCCTCATACTTAATAATTGGCACTTAGTATATACATATACGGACTTTATTGACATGTTCACAACAACTTTTAAAGTGCTTGAGTATTTTCAAAAACATTGCCCAAAAGTGAGTTCTTGGGCATAAGTTCGTAGTGTACATAAACACTTTTCATGTTTTGAATTTGTGATCCTTTACTTTTTTTTTACTCCAGGGGGGTCTGGGGGAAGGGGGCTGGGGGAGCCTTGAGTAATCAGGGCTGAAACTCACTCCGTTGAGTTTTGCACCCTTGTGTGCCTAGCGGATTTCGAACTCGAGACCTCCCACTAGACACGGTAACCTCAAAATCAGCTGGGCTGGAATGTTTGGTTATGGAAATAATGAATTCTGTCAAGGCCTTCAAAATTTTTTATTTGATATCTTGTTAGCCATGAGAGACATTTTTTCAATACACAACCGATCATTCTAGAGGAATTGGCAAAAAACGGATGGGAAGGCTTTCTTGAAGAAGTAAAGGAGTTTTGCTCAAAACATGAAATTCATGTACCGAAGTTGAATTTTGAATATACGGTTGGTCATTGCAGAAAGAAACTACAGTTGAACATCATTATCACTTTGGTGTTTTCAATGAGGCAATAGACTTTGTATTGATGGAGTTAAGGACCCGATTTAATGATAAATCAATAAAACTCCTTTCTTTGAATGCTTCATTGGATCCCAAAAATTTATATGGGTCATCCAATGTCGATGTTATTTGTACTCTTGCAAGGAATTTCTATCCCGAAAATTTTAGTAGTCAGGACATTCATGTTTTGGAATTCGAGCTGCAACACTATGTTCGTGATGTATTCATGTACAAAGTTTTAGTATCTACATTTGTTGAATTATGTGAGGAGTTGATTAAGAGCAGAAAATCCGATTCATATGTTATGATGAGTAGATTGATTTTCCTTATATTGAACTTACTCTTCTTTTGCAAAATTAGAACACTCGTTTTATGCCATGAAACTTCTAAAGGCAGCACTCCTCAACAAAATGGATGATGACTTTATACTGAAAAAGACACTACTCTTAGTATAGATGTAGACTCTATTGTTGATGAGTTCTTTTTGTTTCAAAGCCTCGTTGAGAACAAATTCAATGGAGAACTCTTATATTTGATTTTTTGTTTATTTTGAAAATTTTCAATGTATTATTATTTAAGTGTTTCAGCCCAGCCCAACATGAAATCCTGGATCCGCCCCTGGTCGGTCTGGTCTGTTAAATCTGCTCTGGTTTGATTTGATAGATGTTTTTTCTCTGTGTATTCTAAAATTGTCGAAGCCTTATTCGATCTGTCTAGTCTGATTCTTTTGAGTTTAATATGGTCTAGTCTGAAATTGAAATCAGTCCAATTAAAAACGTCAAATACAAAGTGCGCGTTTGAGGACTAGGGGGTCATGTAGGGAAAACACCTTAAACCACTACCTCATAATTTAGAGCTCGTTTGGTAATATTGAAATACGATGATTTTGCTGAAATTTATGAAGTTCTGACTGAAGTGGTTGAAGATTGGCTGATTCTACTGAATTATGAAGAAAAAAATTAAAATAAATTTTATAATAAAAAAAACTAAAATGATCTTCTACAGTAACTTCAGCCAATTCAACCAGAATAGTAACTATATCTTTACGTATTTTGATTATTACACAACTCAGCGCGAGAAATAAAAAAATTACGTTTTTGATGAAAAAGTTGATTGATAAGACTAATAAGCCAAAAAACAGGGTCACTAAACGAGCTCTTAATATTCTTAATTATATATGTAGTACTCCATAATATATAGGGAAATGGAAACTAATATTCTCACGTTTTAGATCATATACGGGTCATCCTAGAATAGTCCCAACTAACTATAATCTCATAATTATTTCGCTTTTTCACTTCAGATCATCTTCTTCGCTGGTCCCTGACCGGTGGATCCTGTTATTCCATATTTTTTTTTCTTTTCTTTGCAAACCATAAATCTCACATTCTATAAATCTTTTCAAAATGGCCCCACGTATGTTTTTTCTTTTTATTTATAAAAGTTTTTTAAAAAAAAATTATCCTAACAATGCTTTTATTCCTTTTTCTTCTTCTCTATTTTCATTTATGTACCTTTATAATGTATTTCTTTATCCATTTACCATAAGAGTTTTTTTATAAAATTTTCTTTCGATAGTTTTTCCTACTCATTGTAGTCTATTTTTATAATTTTTCGGCTACTTTTTGTATTTTAATTTGATTTTTTTAGAAAGAGAAAATAGTTGTGGAATCAAGGTAAAAACGAGGGGGGGGGGGGGGGAGGAAATAAATACGTGAAGTAAATAGAAAATAAAGCAGAAAATTAGTAGGGTGAGAAAAAGATCTTTTATAAGATGAGGTACATAAACATCGAAAAGAAATAAAAATAAGAATAAGAAAAAGAAAAAAAGGGAATAAAATAGTCAACAGAATAAAAATAAAAAGAGAAAATTTTTAGATAGAAAATAGAAGAAAAATTGCCCTAAATAGGAGTAAAAACGTTTTAAAATTCCAAAATAGAAGTATCACGTTTTTTTATTCCCTGAATAGGAGTAATTCTGCCAAGTTTGAAAAAAAGCTGTCATGTTCAAAGATAGAAAACATGATATGTGGGACCATTTTGAGAAGATTTTGAAAGATATAATTTATGGTTTAATGTTTTGCAAAAATAAACCTAAAATAGCAGGTCATCAATTGGTCGGGAATCAATGTAGTACTGTAAGATGGAGTGCAAAGGCCATATTATTCCAAAATTTTGTTTAGGTGGAACTATTGTAAGAATAATGCTAAAAATGAGGTTATTAAATTTAGTTTTCATTTTCCCTAACATATATGGCGTCCGCGTTTATCCTGTTTTACGGGAATTGCATTAAATTTAGATGTAGTATAAGATGCTCGAAAAAATGGAAACAAAATAACTTTTTTCTAATACCCAAGTTCTTATTGAGTGATAACAGGAGATTTACACAAATATGACCAAACCAATGTATTTTTCGTAAAATAGAATCAGGTAGTTTAAAATGTCATAAATAAGATTGTTTTCTTTGTTATTTGACCAAAATAGATTTATAAGTTGGGGCACTGCTGCCCCCAAGTCGCTAGACCACAGCCTACATACTATTTGCCACCCTCCCAAGTCGCTAGACCACCACCTACATACTGTTTGCCACCCTTCACCGGCCGCTGCTGCCAAAGTTCGCTGCAGCCAGCATCGGAAACTGCCGTCATTGAGCTGCCGCCACCACCAAACTCAACCGCTACCAACTGACCGACCTTAGTTATGTAAGGACTAAGGGCAATTAATTAGGTTGATTGACTAATTAAATAAATTAGGGATATAAATGGAATGATTAGTTCTATTTAGGGAAATATAACAAAATTATCAGACAACTCTGAAATGAATGGTCGACTCGGTACCATCAAGTATCGATTTGACTTTTAGTGATCAATAATAATAATAAGTAAATTGTCTTAAATAGGATTAAAAACATTTGTGTATTTCAAAATAGAATCATTATGTTTTTATTCTCAAAATATGATTAAATATTGTCATGTTTTGACAGTACCAGACTTTAAACTTGGCAGTATTTTCCAAGTTGGCAATAATTACTCCTATTTAGGGATAAATACATGACAACCCTATTTTGTAACTTCCAAACGTTTTTACTCCTATTTCAAAAAATTTCCCCATAATAATATACTCTGCTGTAATAAACTTTTGGCAATAATTTTAACTCTTACGTTTGTGTGAAGTTTATAACTTTAATACTTTTATGAGAACATTTTTAACAAAGAACTTTTCATATAATTTTAATTTTTAAATAATTTCATATTAAAAATATCATTTGTCAAACTTGATCATTATTGATCAAGAAAAGTTATGGTGGAGAGATGGAGTATTAAAATAGTAGAAATAGTTTAATGGACCTATTTATCTACAAATTACTATTAAAAAAAGTTTGACTCATTAATTGAGATAAACATAAAGTAGTGTTGGTAGAAGGTGAGATATAATTTTCTGTCTGAATTGACTGAAATTACTGTATAGTATAAATTTAGCTATTTTGATCTAATTTTTCTTAATTCTATAAATAAAAAATTTTGAATATAAATTTAGCTATTTTGATCTACTTTTTCTTAATTCTATAAATAAAAAATTTTGAATATAAATTTTGATAGTTCAACAAATTAAGCCAAACTTTAACTAAAATTTCATGAATTTCAACCGATCCAGTTAATCCAGCCAATTTTAGTGTTATCATCAAACGAACCGACACTTATACCAATATTATACTTCGTATGAGTCAATTATATATATGGGGATTGAAATATATAGACATACCATGAAAGCACCAAAACAATTTTAGCAAAAATCTTCTCGAGCTTGTGCACATCGGAAGCATAGAAGGCAACGGTGACTCCAAGCATGGTAACATATGCTTGAGTTACCAGACTTAATATGCCTGAGATAATAACCAAAGGCTTTATAGCGTCCCCATTCACTGCGGTACCGCAATCAAATGAATGCTTCCCATTTTTCACCTAATTCATTAACCAAATCAACAATTAGAAAATGAAGGGTCCTTTTGTTATTTCAAACCCTATCTGATTGCTATTTTATTAATGTAAGCCCCCTTCGATAAAAAAAACTTCTCTTATCACTGGCATTGTCAAGGTGCAAATTAGGCTAGACCGGTAAAAAGAAATTTTAGAAATGTTTGGATACAAAGTTTTATGGACATTTTTTAAATTTAGGGTAAGTTGGGTTGGCCTCATACCTCCGCCCAAGATTCTGATCGGTCGGGATTGAATCGTGGCCTACCCTGAATGGCTTAATGGGATAAGCCAGCAAAAAGAGTTTTTCTATAACATAACATAACATAACATAACATAACATAACATAACATAACATAACATAACTGTTGGAACATATTGTTTTGTTGATGACAAACGACTAGTGTTACTTTTGGTCTATAAGTGATTGCAGGAAAGGGAGATAAGTCGTGCTTTGGAACAATCCGTAGACCTGAACCCGAAACTATGTTACAACGGACATATATGTTTTGTTGACAACTAACCATGCAGGTGGAACGGCGGACAGAACCGCTCACAGTTCCTTAAGGAACAATGGACAGAACTATTCTATGTTCTTACATTTATGTGCTTATAGTGTGGTGTATACATGATATACGTGGATTGACTTGCATGCATAAAGTGATTTTTATGAGTTATTCTTTATGGAAAGAAATCCTTCCTTTATGATATTAGTGTGCTTACACGTAGCATAATTTGAATTGACTTACATGCATGATTACGTGGCAGTATTTACGTGTGGCTTGCATGATTTGAAAAAGAAAAAGGTATTTGATTATCTTTATGGAAAGGCTCCTTGATTGATTTTTAAATAAATAAGGACGTTGCATGATTTGAGTAAAGTACTAAGGAAAGTTTCTTTACATGATTCGAATAAATTCAAATATGCTAAATAGTATTTGCTGCCATATTCCGTTGCTCTTACTATGGAAAGTAATTTTGTTATCTTTATATTGATGGTCCTCTTTCTAAATACATTAAAAGGAATATTTTTGGTAGCATATGATTTGATTGCATCTCCTACTATACAAATTTATCTACATCCATGATTGAATATTTTAATAAATATTTTTGAATAGAATATTGCTTACTCTAGTGTCAACCGTTGCTTCTTGCTATAATAGGTGGAGATATTCTTTCCTTGCCATATTACTGTTGGGCCGCGTGTATGCGGTGTCAGCAATCTGCCAGCCTGCCGGTGCAATCGAACCGTGTGGCGCTTCGCATGTGCTATAAATGGGGAGGAGCGTGCTACACTATCAGCGATTGCTTTTAGTGTAGCGGTAAGTGCAACGATCCACAAGTGGTATCAGAGACAAGGACACGGGTTCGACCCCCGGCAACAGCATGCTGCACAGTTGAGGCTGGCAGGTGCTGGGGGGAGATTGTTGGGCCGCGGGTATGCGGTGCCAGCAATCTGCCAGCTTGCCGGTGCAATCGAACCGCGTGGCGCTTCGCATGTGCTATAAATGAATAGGAGCGTGCTACACTATCAGCGATTGCTTTTAGTGTAGCGGTAAGCGCAACGATCCACAATTACCTTAATTGAGACCGTTGCATGCATTAGATATTCTCTCAATTGACATATTCTTATGTGCTACTAGAATATCTTGTGTCTATCAATATAATAGACATATGCCTTTAGCCCAAACTATGAGACATATTATTCAAGGAAGGTAATTCAAAATATCAAGGAAAGTCCAAATATTCAACCAAGGAAAGGAGAGGCTACGGATGCTATATATATTGGACCGAAGACCAGACGAAAGGTGTGTGCTTGACCGAGAAAATATCAAGAGAGATACTCGAGAGAAATACAAAGTTCAAGGCACCTGAAACTGCTCCCGGAGTTCTAGACAGAGTCTTATTCCTTTCTTATATTATAATTGGGTTATTGAGAACGAGCTAAGTGCAGCTTCCTCGGGTTGGGTAACGTGTGTTGTGAGAGCTTTGTTGTAAAGGTGAGAGGCTCTCTACCCGCAAGGTAGAGAAGCGTAACTCTTCCTAGAGAGGATAAAGTTGGGTTGACTCAAGGGTAGACTAGGACAGTTTCCCTTGTATTCATTCAAAGGCTTTTTAGTGGAGTTGTTAAAATTTCTCCGAGGGAGGTTGAGGTTTTTTAATCCTTGTGAGCCAAGAGATTTTTCCTCGTTAAATACTTGTGCACTTTACTATTTCGCAATTCCCTTTACCCCACACTAGAACATGGCGAAAAACTGCCACGGTTCCACACACACAATCCCCCCCCCCCCCTCTTGTGTTGCTAACCGTTCATCAATAACATAGCGCAAATTCAAAATAAAAATAACATTTCAAAATAGTTAATAAAATATCTAATCACAATTCTATAAATTAAACAGCACACAATTACCCAAATTAAAAATTGCCAAATTTTAAAATGCAGAAATTGAGATAGCATCGTCCATAAACTAAAAAGATAGCACTATGAAATCGTAAGAAATTAAACTAGCTATATACATATTTGTCTATGAAAATAGTTTAAAGCTTATTAAATCTCAAAATATAAGTAAAATTAAGATACTAAAATGAATATGTCACATTTCATTGAGCAAGAGTCTTTGACTCTTTGTTCACAAAAACAAAAAAAATACTACCTATTAAATAAAGAAAATTTGATGCATTTGGAATAGAGAATTCGAAAAAATAATTTAGGAATTTATAGTCTTTGAGAGTCTTTTGAAAAAATTCCCGAAATATGAGTAAAAACGTTTGAAAATTCCAAATTGGAATCGTCATGTAGAAGTACTTATTGTCAAACTTGAAAAATACTGTCAAATTTGAAGTCTGGTACTGCCATAACATGACAATAATTACTCCTATGTAAGGAATAAAAACATAATAGGCATATTTTACAATACACAAACATTTTTAGTCATATTTAGGCCAATTTCCCAGGTCTTTTTAATAGTCTCACAAGTTTTTTAATTAAAATTCTTTGTCTAGATACAAGAACATGAAAAGCTTTCGTGGGTTCTTACTATATTATAAGAAGTATTAGATATAATAGAGTTTATTAAAATTATACTTCCTCCGTTCTTTTTTAGTTGCAACAGTCAACCTTTGCACATTTGCCAACGCACACATTTGACCGTAAGTATATCTTAATCTCTATTAATAAAAAAATATTAAAAATCTGATTTTGAAAATTTGTAATGAGATGATTTGAAAAATATTTTTTTAAAAAATAGTTTCCATAAAATAGTAGTGTAAAATGTAGTCAAAGTAGATCATGTGAACAGTGCAAAAAGTCAGCATGTTGTGATTAAAAAGAGACGGAGGATAAAATTTCGTATTATAAATCGGGTGGGTTTGGGTACTCGTGTTTATAAATTTTAAGGCATGTCGGTTCCTATGTTTTTTAAGACCCCCCCTCCCTCCCCTCCCCTCCCCGAAACATTTGAATGATCTAAATTAGGATCCAGTATTACCGGGCCCAACTCGCGGTTCATGTACCCGTTTATCCACCACTACTTTTTGCTACATTTTCCCTTTAAAAATAGGAAAAATGGAAAGTAATATTCCAACCTTTTAACTGTCAGGGACAAGCGCTTGTCCCTGATCGGTTGATGACCTGTTATTCCAGTTTTTTTTGTTTTCTTTGCAAATCATTCAACCATAAATTCTACCTTTCAAGAATCTTCTGCAAGTGGTCCCACATATCTTTTTTCTTTTTTCTCCTTAAAACTTTTCCCTTTATTTTTCTACATTCTTGTAATAAAAAAACGTAGAAAAATAGAAAGGAAAAAAATAAATATTAAATAAAATTAATAAAACCAAAACATTAGAAAACTGAAAACTATAAAATTAGAAACTCAATAACTTAAAATAAAAAATAAAAAAGTAAAAACAAAATGCAGGCATCTGCTGCAGCTTCAACAACCTCCCAACACCATCAGCTCCGACCACCAAAATAAATGCCAACATGTGTTAGTAATGTCATCTTAATGCATGCATTTTCGGAGAAAAAACTGAAGCGTGTATACAAAATGGCATTTTCGCCGATCGGAGTTGGCATTGCTTGGAGGTAGCGAGGCTGCGGAATGGCCTCCATTTTTTTATAGTGTGTTTTATTTAGTTTTATTTACTTTTAAAGTTTTCTTTAAATTATTTTTTATCACTATTTATTATTTTATTATTTTTAAAAAACAGTCTTTACTTATTTTTATTTTGTTACTATATTTTTATAAATTGAAATGCTTATTATTATTATTATTATTATTATGTAAAATATGATTATCCTATTAAGTTATGGTAAGAGTAGAAATGTAGAATAAGAAAATAGACAGTACTATAGTCCTGTTTTGGAAGAAAAATAACATAGTCCTATTTGTGCATTTAGGGATTAGTTTAGTCCTATTTTGGGGCTATTTTCTAAAAAAACATATTAGTTATGGAATAAAGGTAAGAAAAGGAAATAAATAAGTGTAAGTAAAAAGAAAGTAAAGTAAAAAGTTAAAACGGTGAGAAAAAGATCTTTTATAAGGAAACTAATCCGAAAAATATACCCCTTCGTATTTATATGTTCTGTACAATAGCTTTTGGCACAATGTTTTAGGAGAAAATAGTAGGGGTAATGAATAGTGTAGAAAAGATATGAGAGAGTATGTAAAAGTATGAAAGAAGAGAAAAAGTAAGGGTAGTTGTGTATTTTTAAAGGAAAAATTTACCGAAAAGGGAAAGTGCAACAAACTTTTAAATACATTCCAAAGAGGAAAGTGTAGCAAACTTTAAAATACGAAGGGAGTATAAAATGAAAATAAAATAACAAATGTGAAGAAGAAAAAGTAGGAAAATGAAATAGATAAACATTGAAAAAAATTGAAAAAGAAATAAAAACAAGAATAAGAAGAACAAAAAGGGAAATAAAAGAGTCAAAACGATAAAAATAAAAAGGAAAAAGTTTTAGGTAAAAAAAAATGATACGTGGGACCATTTGGAGAAATTTTGTGAAAGGTGAGATTTATGGTTGAATTATTTGTAAAGCAAATGAAAAAAACCCGGAATAACAGGTCATCAACCGGTCAGGACTAGCGAATGAAGATGAGATGCAAAAGTTGGATTATTCCTGAATTACGATTAGGTAGGACTATTCTACGAAGACCGCTAAAAGGTTGAATTATTAATTTCCATTTTCCCTTAAAATACCCAAATATTCTTATTTTTTCTACTCTTCGTGTTCTCTTTTATATGTAGTACTTTTTATTTTATCATGCTTTTTCTAGTGTATTCATTACATACTTAGGCTTTGTTTGCAAGTGATTGTACTTAAATAAAAGAACATTTTGGGAAAAAGTTATTAGTGGTAAAAGTTGATAGTGTTTGGTGAAATAAGTGCTTTTTGTGTAATAGAAAAAGTAAAAGTAGATTCTACACAGAAGTCGAGAAAAGTAAAAGTTGGTAGTGATTGATAAAATAAGTGTTTTTTCTTAGAAAAAAATCACAATCACTTAAATTAAATGATTGCAAACAAGCCCTTGTTTATCAATCCTACTACTATTTTCTTAATCCAAAAGGTCGAATCATGTTTCCCATTTCTGGCAAACATTTCATGATTTAAATAAGGAACTAAGGAAGGAGTACTACCTAATAAAAAGTCAAAAGACAAAAAAGAAAAAGAGAAATCGGAAGACAGAAAAAAAGAAAAGGAATGTGCAGATTCACGCTGGAAAGTAACAAAAAGAAAGACGACTTTGAAGCAGCCACAGTCGGAAAAGACTAAGAGGAAGAAGAATAACTCCGTCACCTAGTGTTCGCCGGCTTAACGAAGAGGGTAAATGTGGGATGTGAAGCCAAATTAGTCGTTATATTGATTATTGATTATGTTTGAGAAACATTTCTGTTTAAAATATTGAATGCATTTGCAACGATGAGTTTAAATGAAAAATTATGGAGCTGCATATGTAGAATTCGGACAGAACCAAACAATTTTTTTTTTGAGAAATTGGGCAAATAAGGACACGTACTAGCAAAAAAAGGTCAAATAAGTCCTTAATTAAAGGCTCTGTCCGGCCATCGCCATTTGAGGTGGTTCCTGATGGAATTTTTTATGAATTTTTTTGCGCATCTTATTCAGTAAGTCTAGTTTACTCATATCAAATTTCAGCTAAAACTTCAATCGGGAAAACATTCAAATGAAGTTTTAAAGATAATTGCGCAATTAAAAAAAATTCATCAAAAAATTCCACATAGAACCACCCCAAATGGCGATGGCCGGACAGAGCCTCTTAAATAAGGCCTTATTTGACCTTTTTTTTTGGTTAGTACGTGTCCTTATTTGCCCTTTTTCTCATTTTTTTTGAGCAAATTGTTAAGTTGTAGGTACCACAAACAGTGGCGGAGCATCAGCTTTGTAACTCTTCTAGTCTTCTACCCCTTTTGCCCCTGATTTAATTAATTGGAGCCATGTTCGTCTTTGACTCAACTTGTTGATCTTCTTTATCGTCTCTCTTCAAACTAGTTCTTCTTCGGAGCATAATGTCATGCATTGTCATTATTGTGACATTGTTTACTTTTTCAATGTTGATAATGTGAACGTTAGACTTTGTAGCATTTTCAGACATTATTATTGATATCAACATTGACATTGTCATTGCCATTACCACAATGTCATTTTTCATAGCATTGATAACAATGACATTGTCATTATCACAATGTCATTTTTCATAGCATTGACATTGTTACTGTCATTTTTTGACATTGTTGTATTGTAGTTGTTGTCGAAGCTCGTTTAATGGCTATTGGAGTTCATGTCATAGCGAGTAACCAGGGAACGAGTCTTCGAAAATGAGACAACCATAAAGTCAATGAATGTCGGCGGCGGTGAGGCGTAGCCCCAACGGCGGCGAAGTCTAAAGACATATGTCTCGTAGGGCTCCGCAGTAAGTAGCAGAAGATGTTTGAGCGTGGGCATCGGAGGGGGTTAAGTGGCAACAGTACATGCCTGCATCGTGTTTGGGTAATATAGTCCAGGAACCTAATT